ATAATATATAAAAATTTCAGTCATTTGTTTCATAGTTCTGAAAAGTCTTCATTATCTAATCCCTATCTCAAATATTAATTCATCTAAATCTAGGATTTACTTTAACAATAATGTAGTGCTGTTTAAAAGATAGACAGGTTCATCAGAATTTCTATTAGTTAATGTTCCCACTTCTGTGCTCAGTAAAACCTAGGTTCAACTATGACTACATAGTATCTGTGAGCTCCAGTTACTCATGGTGAAGCAAATGAAGGGCTATTTTCTACACACATCACTGCTGGGCATTTCTGGTAGGCTATTGACTTGTTATGAACAATTTTTTTCCTTGATGGATGTTATAAATGCAAACTATTCTGTATCTACTGTGTCAAATGGAACACATTCTATTTTGAATAAAACAAACAAACAAAGAAAACAAAAGAAGATTTCAGCATGCTCTAAAACACTCTGAATACTTCAGCTGACCAGAACATGTCTCCAAACGAGTGTAGCCAACAGGAATTACATCTTCAATTTATTTACTTTTGGTCATAGACTCTGTTTTGTGGAAAACCTCCTTTAAAAATGAGGGGGGAAAAAAAAAAAAGAGCAACAGAAAGCACAATCGAATTAGAATCTTATCTACAATCTGGAAGCCTGTGGCTGAGCGAGGAACTAAGCTATCGTAGGGATCCTTTTCAAGACTCAGTCACAAACCAATCCAACCTTATGTGGCAAGTCTCATGTGATGGATAGGGTAAAGATGGAGAACACCTGTACTCTGCAGTCACTTCAGTCTCTTGATTGACATTCTCACCTAGTCTTTGAATTGATGTTGAGAACGCAGGTTGTATAGATCCCTCAGGGAAGACATAAATGAGGACTCTTCCATGGAGGAGCAGGTGTCAATAGTGACAATCATTTCAGTGCAATCACACTAGCTGTACCATGTTTTTATAGTGAAACAGAATTTTATCATTGACCGTATCAAAAACGTAGAAAATCCAGCTGGGTTAATGTTAATGCAATGCAATACAAATGCCCAGTGATGCAAAAAAGACGAAATCCACCAAAGAGAAATACCAGATTATTAGTCCTGTGCAATCTACAGAATTCTGACCATGCCAAACAACCATTCCAGTCAGCAAAATTTCAATGAAAAACTCTGTTCCTTGCTTTAAAATAAAAGTTAGCTCTTACTGAATCAGCAAAATTCATACTCTGGAACAGTTTTGGTAGATGCTAGGAGAAGTGCACGCATTTTCTTATTCAAGACCAGGTTAACAGCTTCCAATTAAGTGTTAGTGTTGTTATTTGTGTCCACCCAGTTTTCCACACGTGGCAATTTTCCTGTTTGTTTCTGTTGCAAATGAGAAGCCAAACAGATTCACGGGACTAAATATTTTGAGTCAATCACATTAAAAGCTGTCATTAACCAACAATCATATCAATTCCACTGACATTCTCTAGCACAGCTTTTCGACACAATGGATTGATCTACAGGTAACATCTGGAATTTAGACAAGGTCAATGACATTCTTGGCTGACTGTTTTGCCTTGTATATATAGAGGAAGGACAAGGAAATGTTTAATTCAATGTTCAATCTGCATTTAAAAAGATCTTCATCCAACAGGAAAGAAAACGTATCAGGTTCTTTATTTAACTAGCTGTGTACCACAGGTCAAAAATTAATGTGAGAAAAAGAAGCTGCTTCTCACAGATGATAAACCTGAATAAGGCCATTTACTTTCAGAAACCCTAACAAAAGTAAAAAAACCCACAGAGATCATCTTGAAAGTACTGCATTTTAAAAGGCTACCCTCTCCCTTTGAAAGAAAACTAGGAAATGACAACTCCACTAACCGTATACAGTAGTCTAGATACTTCATTGTTTTACATACATTCAAATAAAGAAGTGAGGAGTATGTGGACTAATTAATATCTGCTTAGGATTCTATATTGCAGTGTAATTGCATACCATATTCATTAAAGGAGCGGATAATAAAACTTCCCCTAATATTATCAAATGTTGACAAATTTTTAGTGAACAAATTTGTATTAAAAGGTAGTTCCACTATGAATGGCATGTAATCTTACCTGTGTATGTTGTCTTGACCAGAAGGGACTACACCTAGGTTTGCTGCCTTCACTACCCTCTCAATTATTACAGGTCTAGTAGAGTTTTGCGGAGCAACAGCTACTGTAGCAGATGTCTCATTCATTCCTGTCAGCATCCCTGAAACATCAAGTATTTCATTATGAGTACTTTAAGATTCGCTTGCTTATTAAGTACAAAATCAAAACAAGAGACTTCTAAACAAAAACCACATTTGCATTAAAATTTAAATAATCCATTCAGAAAATTATTTTGTAAGAAATTACATAATTACATTAGTTTAATGTATTACTTGCAATGCCCTATTATTAGAGACAAATTACTAATAACTGAGCAATAATAGGTGTGATACTAATGTAACTGTGAAATCAAGATGGTTCTTTCTCACAAGAACTTAAAAGAATAATGTAAACATGGAAATGAAACACTATGTAAGACTGATTTGGAAAAGTCCAGCTAAAAACCATATACAAAACCTCCTTATAATCTTCTAATCATAAAACAGATGCATTCAATTACAATTTCATAGCCAGTTCCTAAAAACAGTCTCAAAATTCAGATAGTAGTCATTGGTTCAATTTAGTTCATGAACACAAAGTCATCACATTAGAAACAGGGAAATTCAATTAGTATCTCTCTCTCTACAATGTAATGATAAACTATATGACTAAAATAATTTGGATATCACTACAAAATGGAACAGAACTATCAAGAGTATATCCAAACATATGACAAAAATAAGTAAAACCAGAAATGTTCAAGGATATTTAACAAAAACTCCACTTTTTTGTCAACGTCCATTGTTTGGAAGAATGATTTGCTGGACACCTGTGTTGATTAAAACCCAACACTAAATACAACATAGCATTGTGTATTTTTACACTATGTTCAGAAGCTGAAAATGAAAACAAACAATGGAATACAGTACTTTGGGCAGAAATACAAAGCATCTGAAATCCACGATAACATTTACAATGAAAACAATACAGAAGTCTCAAAAGGCTAATACTTTAGGGCTGCACATACATTTCTAACCCAAAGTAAACGGCACTAAGATGCTTAATAGAGCAATTAAATGAAAAATAAATCAAACATTTTAATGCACTAGAATGTGTATTAGCTGCTGTCACAAAATAAGAAATGTCAATGTAAAAACCAGAACAGCTCATAATGAAATAACAGCGTGTTTTTGAACATGATCTGCTCTTGAATAGAACAAAAATAAGTTTACAACTTCTGTAAAGATCAGCTTTATCATGGGAATAGAACATTCTGTTACAAATTGTTTAACTTCACTATTAGGCAAAAGCTTTAAAAACTACATGCACAGGCTAAAACTGCTTTTAAGCAGAGCACAGGGACTGACATAACACTGCTGAGAGATGTGTGTACTCATTTAGGATTTAAACCTTCTCCATTAAGCTCTATTGAAGAGCAAATGCTGAATAAATGAATGCAACTATGTTTATGTTAAAAGCCTGTTTCCCGCAGCATGTAATTAAAGGAAATGTTGTACAAAGCCAGTACTTTTGTCAAGCTCCTGTAAATGGAAAGATGGATAGCACTCAGAGAAGTGAATGCATTGCTTCATATTTAACCTTAACACTCTTGTCATTAATGGTTTGTCTAACTTGTTCTATAAAAGACAAGGTACTGCTCCATTGAAGTAAAATTAAAAAAATCAACTAAACCATGCTTTTCAGAACAGAAGATTCATTATCGTCGACTAATGTATTGGCATAAAGCAAAGTAACATCCTATCAAGTAAGGCACACATTCAATCTGCCTTTTCACCCCCCTTTATTTTTAACTCATGCTGTTTTATTGTTATAGGCAATTTGTACCACTCAGCATGACAGTGTAAACTGAATCAAGATTAATTTACATGCAAAAGAACACTTAGGAGAGCAGCATGGTAAGCAAATGTATTGTCTCGATTGCTGAGGTGGAAAAGAACCTGGAAAGAAAAAAGGGTGCTCTAATTAAGGGGCATCAAATATGATTGCTCGTGGTAGTCAAGGGCCAGAAAATAGTAAATGTTCAACCATTTAAAGAATTAACATCTTGCTTTTTAGGAAGACAAGTTGGGTATATAAATCTTAATAAAATTAAGTAAAAAAATTGTTTACTTAACGAGGGTGTTTGGTTTTAGTTTGTTTTTTTGTTGTTGTTCTGGTGTGGTGGTGTTTTTGTCGTTGTTGTTTTTGCGTGTGTTTTTTTTTTTCCCCTTCCTTTTTTTTCTTTTCCCCACACAATGTGAATCAGGTACTCACTTATTAAAAAAAAAATATTAAAATTTGTCATGGGCAAGGGGGAAGTCTTTATATTTAAAAGTAGTTTTAATAGGCTATTTAAAAAAACACCTACATAGAAATTCTGACTAATATCCAGCAATAACAATCACATGCCACCTTTAATATTGCTTGAAATGTGAGAATCTAAGAAAACTCTAGTTGGAGCACAAAGTAGCAATTAATCTGGATTAACTAACTGATATATTAAATAACTGTATATATTTTTAATAAAAGGAAACGAAACTGGAAAAATTACACTGGTAGGTAAAAGGGTATGTTTCCTATCAGACTTGTCCTACTCTGAACCATTCTAAACCAAGTCAAGGGAAGCTGTGCTACTAATTTTTCAAAACAGCATGCAAGTAAAAATTTGGATACAGAATTCCCAACAGTACACATCTCACTTATGCAGAACTCCTGCTACAGACACTGTACTTTTCGTGAGGATGTGATGTAAAACAGGGTAGAAAACCCCGAGGGCTGAAGTTCAGTAAAAATGTTTAACCAGAAAGGTAAAGAGTTGTTTGGCAATACCATTTTTATCCACCGCTTCCAAATTGTCAACTACTAACTGGGCTGCTGCTCTGGGGAATTACCTCACGGAAGGATTCCCCAGCTCAGGAGGGATGGGAAGAGAAGGGAAGACGGTGTAGCAAGGCTGAGCGTATCATGGGCGTGTGGATAAATCCGCTCTCCAGGTTCTGCTGCTGCCACTAGGTAACCTTCACACCCATGAATATTCAGTAACCTGTCTCTTCCCCACTCCTTATGCCATCAGGAAGAAAATGGACATACACAAATGTAACAGACAATGCAAAACAGCTGAGAGTAATTGAGTAAAGATGTGTAGCAACGAACTGTCTCCTACACAGCAGCATAACATCGGCTATTTCCTCTGTAACGGTCTTAGTAGGTTACACATGCAATTTAGATGTAAAAATCCTTAAAACCCATAGATATTCTCATTCTACCCCAATATAACCTTGCATTTCGAGTATTCTCCTCAGTCCTTCACTATTTTTTATCGACTGGTTTTGGTTGCAAATAAAATAAGGCATCTCCGAGTACAAGACTTGAAACATCTCATGTCCAAAAATGAGGAAAAAAAAAAAAAAAGGTGCATGACAAGTGAAAAACAAGTTATATAAACCAGATTCATTTGGAGAATATAGACAAATGAAAGTTAAACATAAAACAGAATAATGTATACCAACTTCTAAATTGCCCTGCATTTATTATTGCAATTTGGATTTTTCATTTAGCAAGATCACATAGCAATTCTCTCCGATGCTAGCTGCTTCTAGGTATTTGTAATAAATACTTATGTATAATTTAGAACTGAGACCTCTATTACCACAAATATTCTGAAACAGCTGATATCTACAAGAAAAAAGATGGAATAGAAAAGGTTTTTAAACCTGTGGTAAATTTGCTAGCATCAAGTCCTGCATCAACGAAAGAATTCAGGAAGACAGAGCAAGCGATACAGAAATGCCAAGAGACCTTCATGGATTTACAAATACTTCATATAAACAAATTTTCAAATAGCTTTATTCAGAGTAGCCTTTCTGCTCTATTAAACATAGCAAACAGCTGCCAGATTTATTCAGACAAATAATCAACAACCATAGAAGTAAAATGGCAGAAGAAAAAGGAATTTTGGCAACAACTCCACAGAGGACCACAGCTATTCTCCAAGTACACTTCTTCTATGTGCTCGTGGTTCTGTATGGCCAGTCAGGAGGAAAAAAAGCCCTCAGTCACAGCAAAACATACAAAAACTCTATCAAAATATCACAAAGCAAGCAAATATAAAATGGGGGAGGGGGGGAAGAAGAACAGTAACCTGTGTTCCCTTCACTACAACCTCAGTTACAATTTTTACACGGGAACAGTTTAAAATAAACATGCCACAGCCTTGTTCAATCACTCACCTTGTTGTGCTGAGCAGGCATAAAGCAGAGAGGCAGGCTTTAGCCAGCAAAGGGTAAGAACAGCAAATAAGTGTCAATTGGTTAAGAAAACAAAGCACAATCCTAACTTTTCACTGCAGCCATGAGCTCAACTGAAAATGATCCAGGCCATATTTAAACTACTTAGTCATTAAAAAATACAAACACAAGAAACGCTCTAAAGCAATAATTAATAATACACAGCATTACTCATAGGTGTTCTTGACTGCTTGATGGATATAGTGAGTTTCTGAGCCTTACACAGCAGTAAGACAGGATCCCATGGGTATATTCTCATCGCAATGTGAAGAGATTTACACATGTAAATACCCATACATTCAGATAGATGAGTAAACACTACTACATTTGAATGCATCCAAACTGCAATCATTTATGTTTTAAGATATCGAAGAGTCATATCCAAATTAAGGGCAGCAGTATGGACTATTCCATTTAACACACAGTCAAAGCTAAGTACAATTTCCTCTAATTATTTTGTATAAAGTACTCCAGTCATAAAATGCTCTTAGGGAGGTGTGTGTACTAGCATCAGAAGCTTACATATTTTAAAGACACAACATCAGGAGAATGCAGAAGTGTATAAAACGTCATCTTTCTAAAACAGTATTCTAATAAGAATAATTTTTTTTTTTATATTAAGTTTCTGAAAGGAAAAAGATAAAAATAATTTTCCAAGTAGCTGAGGAAGAGTACACTAAGACCACTTAGAAATAGCCTTGGAGTACAGACTACTAAGGGCAGACACCGTATCAATGTATAACTGGCTTAATTCCTTGAGCTGGGGTTCCAGCTATCTGCTTTACTGCCAGTAGGAAAAACTTTCACACTTCATGATAGGAAGCTGAAACTCTTCGAGCCAAAAGGCTGTTCCAGGGTAAAAGGTGGGTCTTGTGCTTTTAAGGCTCCCTGAAAAGCTATCAAATATCACAGCATATCCTTCCTAAGGTTTTTTTTTTAATTAAAACACTAGTATCGGACTGAATACTAAAAGAGACTTAACACAGCTACACTGGAAGCACTTGCTTTACCCGTGGAAATTAAAAGGCACAGTCTTCTTCTCATCCAAGTACATTTATCAAAGCTCCTAAAAATATTTCTCACCTTGCTCCTTCTTAAAATCTTTCTCTGACATAGTGACAGGCAAAAGCAGTTCTCCAACAGGGGGCTGAATGTTAACATTGAACTGATCATCCTTCGTGCTGGGAAATGAAAAATGAAAGAGAATCAATTAAGTGATTTAACACAGATTAATATATACATATCCAAATTTACTGTGGAATCTATAAATAGTGTAAGAACTAGCTGCATGATTTCTGCCTTGTTAATCCAGAAGCCTGCTAATTTCTTATATCAGTAAATTTGATCCATTTTCTCCTGTATAAACATAGTATTAATATAGTATGCATGTTCTTGTATTTCTGAAAATTTAACTCTTACTCATAAAAAAGTTTATTTAATCTTCTATAAGGCATCACACTCAAACTAAATGTTTGCAAAGGACAAATTGCCATGCATTTTACAATTTCTTTAAAAGAACTGTTATTTACAAATTCTGTGACCAGCAACAGCTATCCCAGAAATAAGGTTAAATCTAGAGAAGGTATAATTTCAGATTAAAAGGATTATTATTGTCTGAAAAAAAGTCAAATCACATAAAACTATATATTTGGGAATAAAAATGAAATATCTTTCATCACTTCAAGTTTGCAACATTTTGCATAGCTAAAGAAAACCACTCAGCATACTGATTAATGTAAAACCACACTGAAAATTGTAAAATTTGAGGCAGTTTTTGTAATGGCAGAGAGTTAAAAAAATTACTGTCAGTTGTATCACAGTACTATCAAAAGCTATAGATTCCTCTTTAGGAAATAAATACCATACAGTGAACTTGCTCTCCCAATCCATTAAATTTTCTGAGTTTTCAACTATCTCATCTTAGAGTTCTCCAAGTTTATAGAAACTCAAGATACATTCACTCTGCTACGTTTGATTGACTAACAATCCTTATGGGATTTGGCTAGCAATTCAGGATCAGTATAGCCAGTCAGAATCTTTGTTAATGCTTTAAGGCATGAGAAGTTTTTAGAAAAGAACACTGTTTTGTTTTTTGCTAATGTACCAAATAGTCAATACATATTGATTGCTAATATGCCTCAGATTTCCTACTTAAATATAATGATACAATCATTAGAGTGGAAAACATATTTCATCAATTAATATCCATGTATTTAAATTAACTTCAAACATATTACAGATTTTTCATAACTCTGCAACTTCAAAATTCTAAAGTAAGATAGACTGATGGAAAAAACAGCACTAGATTAACAATATAGAATACATATGTATCTCCCTCCTAAAGATGCAAGATAAGCCACTTGAAAACAGGGAAGTATTTTATAGTCCTATTACTTCAAATTTTAATACTTACCATAATAACCCAATTTTACAAGCAAATGCTTAGGAACTAGTATGTTCCAACCTTCTGATGTGTTATAATTGTGCTTATGGATGCAATCTGAAGTACGTGCTTTTCAGATAAACTTCAGCATTAATGCTAATTCTGTGGAAAATTATTATTTAGTAAATACACAGTGAAACAATCCCTTCAAACCTGGTTAGTATTTCCTTTACAAAGAATCACTGTGCTGTAAAATAATAAAATAGTATTTTTCTTCTTTAATTTTTCCTTTGAAAACTGATCAAGAAGTCTGTCAGCTAACGAGATAAAAGCAGGGTCTTTAATCAACTGCCTCATAACTTACATATACTACTTGGACTATATGGCTAAAACTTTCACCAATACCTTCATTAGTATTGTTCAACTGATGGTTCAACCAATGTTATCTTTCATATTTAAGCAAGATACGCACCACATGATTCAGCATGAAACAGATAAACACTTCTGTGTACAGTGACTCATGTCCAACATTGACTGGACTTGCCATTTGTACATAAACTTGACTTAAAATATCAGTGCTTAGATTACTTTGAAATGCTTATAACAATCTTTTCAAAATAAGGAGGAATAAAAGCACAAGCATAGCTCGGGTTTTATATGGCTGTAACTGTTCCAGAGGACCCCTCGACACCCCTGCTGTTAACAAACATTCCACTTCCCTTTCTTCTAGTGATTAAAAAGCTCACAGATACTCTGTTAAGCCATGAACTCTTCACACTCTGCAAGTAGAAAGTCTGATTGCTAGCTGCTCTTCAAATCCACTTTGTTCTGAACTTCACTTTAGCCAGCATTTGGTTTACTCTGCATTACTATAATTTCACCACACTCCAGTAAATTTATTTCTCAGTCATAGAAAATCATCCTCCTTTTTATCATTCTCATTATCACACACTTTACAGGCTAAACATACAGCTTTTGTTTATTGATCTGCATCTCTCATTACATCTTGATATTAGAGATCTAGCAATATCTACTGCAACAAAAGTAATTTCATAGTTCCTCAAGAACCACGGAACAATTCAGGTCGGAAGGGGCAGCTGGAAGTCACCTGGTCCTACTTCCTCCTTTACCCAGGGCCACCTCAGCTCACATTGTTCAGGGCCTTGTCCATTTGAGCTCTGAGGATCTCCAAAGACAGGGATTTCATCAGTTATCTAATGGATAAGTTTAATAATAAAATTGTGACTTGTTGTACAACTATGAGATTTTGCCCAATACCTAGCAAACTAAATTTCTGTGTATTGAACTTACTTAAAAGTTGAATATTGTAATTAGCATAAATGATATTTAAAGAAAAAAATGCAGAAGTAGTTGGAAGCTGTAAGATTAAGATTTAAGAATCTAGCAGGCAATTGGTTCAGGCTGCACTGAAACATCTCTCAGATAACTCTTCTGGAAGCTGAAGCTGAAGAGGGTTACTAAAAAAAGAAGCGAAGTTTCTTAACCCAAAGAGACACAACTGGTTTTAGATTTCAAAAACAATGATGGCAACATCTTCTTTAAAACTAATACAAATTATACTATCACTTGCGAATGAATTCTTACAAGATTCCACAATAGCAGCCTTTAAAGTCTCAGTTCTCAAAGCTCTTTAAAAACTTATCTTTCTAATAAAAGTCTGGGGACTATTCTTCTTGCTATCATAAATAATTCTGGTTTTTCTTTCACTCCTAGTAGTTGCTTGCCCCAGAACACATCTATCCAAAAGCAGTGCACTATTTTTGCACTATATTTGTATTCAAAATATCTCCAGAGATGGCTGAAAAAAAAAAAAAAAACACCAACAAAAAAACAAAGAACAATGGAGAAGGAAGATCAACACACTAAGTTCCTGCAAAACATGGAATGGAGAAGTCTAGGAGACTTTCTCATAGGCTTGCTGAAGAAAGGAAAGGACAACACCCTACTTTTACAAGAAAAAAGTCCAGGGCAATAGAAGAAATGAGTGTAGCTGCTCATGCCTAGCCTCGCTTTCCCTGGGTCAGTTATCAGCTATCTCGATATAATTCCTTTCTGGAACTGGACCAACTGACTACTTTGGAGTAACGAAGTAAAGAGAAGAGTACCAGATTGCTTGTTTTAATGTCCAACATCTGTAAACAACTTGGTGATCTGCTGATAAAGCACTAGAGAAGGCAACAGCAAGATACAAGTAAAAATGCAAGCAATAGGGATATGAAGACAGTCCTGCATCTCTAACGTCAGCTTTTAACATATCCCATAACGCATTTTGCTACACAATTTTAATTGGAAGCTTTTGTGCAAGTATCTGCAACTGAACACGTGCTTGCACCCAATCAAAATACTGACTGCTACCAAACTGATACCCTTCATTTACTTCTCTTTGCAGGCAGAAGTTCTACAGGTGAAGATTCCTCCATCAACATGGAGTGAGGCAGCCAAAAAAAAAAATCTTTTCCTTGGAAAACGAAATGTAGAACAGAAATGTTTACAATATGGTAGAACCTGCAGAGAGCAGACTGAACAAGGTTCTCAACTGCCATAAATGGAATTTAATTCATTTAAGAAAATGCAGGATTTTTCCAGCTACACCAGCCTCTTCTGGAGCAATCAGCAAAATGCTCTCTTCATAGAGACCAGGGCAGATGAGGTGAACAGCTTTCTTTTCTGTTAGCATAACAGCAGTAGAAAAGCATGTACAGGGTCCCAGCTCTTCTAATGAAACTGAGACACAGGATGCGCCCATGTAAGATAACCAGTCTGCGATTGTAAAAACCTCTGCCACATGTCACACTATTTTCCCACAATCTCATTATTGTGAGCATGGATGGAAGGCATAGAAGTTGTTGCTTTCACTCCATTTCTCTTTCTCCTTGGAAGCACTGATTGTACTCTTTGCATGTAAACCTTGAGAAAGCTGGAGGAAGAGATGCATGGCATGGACATATTCCCTATGCCATGTTGTTTCAAAGAGATCTACATAATATACTGCATACTTTGCAGAACAATGGGGAGAGGAAACAAGTTGTCTGTAAATAAATTTTATCTTCCAAGCTCTGTTTTTTTTCATGGCTTTAGGAACAGCTAAGAGCATTGGAAAGAGGGGATGAAAAGAATATAGAAGACAAGGTAAGGACAAGCCTCCTTCTCCAGTTCTCAATGACGTAAAGAGGATATCTCCCCTGTAACTTTAGTCAGTCATCAGATACCTACAAGAAGCTGGAGATAGGCCTGCTGGATTTTACACATGTAGACAGGAATCTGAAATGCTAAATACATGTACACAATTAGGATAAGGGCATGTATATGCTGTAGCCCTCTATCTCTGTAACCTTCCTCGCCTTTCTTCTCCAGGGATTCAAATGTCTTCATTCCAAGGATTCAAGGCCAAATTCTGATATGACAAAGCACCCAAATATTTTTTTCAGACGCCTAAGGAAATTGGTCAGCTGTGAGAAGGACCTGAGACTATCTGAGAAGTAGAGACATGCAAGTTAATAAAGATAAATTAAGAGACAGTGGTAGGATTGTTAAGACAGCGATTGCTAAGAGGAGCTCAAGGATTCAAGAGAAAACACACTGACTCAGAAATATATAAAATTTGACCTGGGAAAAAAAAAGTTCCACAGTCAGTGGAGTACCACAATCAGTTTGTATCATGAAGGATTCATTCCAAGCTTTCCTTTGCTCACTGGTGCCTACCTTTCTAGCAAAGACTGATGTCTCTTACTGGGATGGCAAATACACTAATGCTTAAGCAGGACTCAACAAGCTACTGAACTACCTTCCTTGTGACTTAGCCACTAACAAACTGCTTTGTACTTCTAAATTGTCCAAATTCTGCTTGCACAATCTGAACAAAGTAACCCAGAAGAAATAGTAACACTAACAAAAATCTTTTAAAAGACCAAGTTCCCCTGTTTATTCCTCTTTAACTTTCTGCTTGAGAGGCATTACTCTGCAGAACACCAGCATGGCTGAAGTACTGTGTCTCTCTGCAAGGAAGTGACACAAGAAAAATAGCAATGAAGAGATATTCTTCTTATGAGTACATACTGTGAGCATCCACATCCACATTCTAAATAAATGCATTAGGAACAGTTTTCAAGTTAAGGCGTTTCATGTCTTTTTAATTAGACGTGTTAGCTTGGTAAGCTTTGCTTAATAAAAATAGTGTTTACGAGGGATGTTTTTCAAATCTCAACCCTTCAAAGCTCTCTGTAACGCAGTTTCTCCTTCATTGTCCTTGATTTGTACAACAAATTCAGAACGAGATCTAAATATTTTATTACTCACGTTAGTTTTTTTTCCTCTATACAGTTTGCATTTATTGACCCACTAGTACAACAGCTCATCCCCAAGCAGAAAGGTAGTGTTTGCTATGCAAAACACACAGTCTGTGATTGGCACCTAAGACCAATTGATCTACCCATTACCACTATCTCCCTACCCCCACAAGCTTTACTACAAAGCTATTGATTTAAACGCTGCCGATCGGTTTCCATTTTCTGATTTTGGGCAGGCCAATTAAGAAAGTGAGTAATTGTGATTACACTCCTTCAGGATCAATTACATTTGATGCAAGACAAAGTGCTCCTCTTAGAACAATGTAAAAGAAAATTATTATGATCAGGAACACTTTACTGCTGAACATGCTTCTAACAAAAATGCAAAATAACTGACAATGTCTTTCATAAAGATATGTTAGCAGGAAACACAAGAATATCGACACCTTGGTGTGGACAGTATTTCAACTACATTTTGGCAAACTTCCAGAAGTCATTCTTCCTTTTGGATAAAATCTTTTAAAGTAGTATGACAAGTTAAAAAGGCTGCAGCCGAGTTCTCTGAGATACTGCTCCCAAAATGTCACACTGCACAACTTCTTCAGTGATACTGAACATCAGTGGGATTTTGAACAACACGTTTTTACAGCCAAATCGAATGCCAAGAACATTTTACCTATTTTTGTACTATTATCTAAGAACAAGTGTCAAAGAGACAAGGCCCTATCAATTAGCAAAGGAACAAAGTAAGCAATTCCTATTCTTAATTTAATTTTAAACTTAGCTTGAGCTTTGTCATTGGACTCACATTGTCCAAATCATTAAAATGAATACACCATTGAGGTCTCAGGCAAATCTATTTACAGTGATGTTACTCATAGTCTGGTCGGTGTTCAGGATTATTGATCTGTCTTGTTTGTCTAATAGGAAAATAATAAACAATTACTAGGCAATGCTGGAGAAAGTAATCAGTTTTTATATATCACTAATACAGCAGACCTCCCAAAACATAAAGGTGATGATCTGCATAAAATCAATGTGTTATGCTACATTGCTTATCCTCATCACTGCTAAGATTCTTAGCAATAAATTGTGTAAGTTTGGAATCAAATCATTAGTATACTAAAAATATGTACTTGACAGAAAAATATCTGTTCTATTTACAAAAGAATGTGCCTCCTTGATAAACTGTGTGTATTTTATTGAAAAAAACGAAACAAAACAAAACATATATAATATATTCAGGGAAAGAAAATAATTTTAAGACAATTAGGACAATGAATTACCTAGAAGGGAACTTCCCTTCTTCAACAAACCCAGCATCAGGCAACAGTCCAAAGCTGTTTCCAAATTCCAGCAAACAGCCTACAGACCAGCTACAACAACATGACGTACATAAAATACCTGCTGCAGACATCTTCCTGGAGGTACTAATAACTTTTTAAATGACTACGCATGAGCATCCATTGTATAGGAAAAGGTTTCAGAGTGGAAAAAACCCAAACATTAATACTAAAACCTCCTTGTCCCTAGAGCAAAAAATCTTATTTTATCAGTGGTTCTTTTCGAGTCACTTCAGTACATCTCTATTATTATGATTTTCTCTCTATCATTAATAAACTATGAATTTCACAGCTGTGCAGTAATACCCTAAAATTTCTACAGTATTTTCAAGAAAGGGGTGCTGAACTTTCTCAAAGAGTTTCCCCTAAACTGGAATGTAGCAATGTCAATGTCTAATCAATATCCTTTTTTTCTGCAGAATACAGGAAGAAGTGCTTCTTGCAACAAATTATGTAAAAAAAAAAAATTTAAAATATATAGGAAGAAAAAAAGAATCATGTAGATCTATTTAGTGTATTTCCATAGTTTCAAAGACTATAGAAGCCTGATTAACTTTTCAAAGAAAAGCATCTAGCTTTCACCCATCCATTCATTCCTACTGTTTGGACACTGATACTATAATTTTTCCCTCCTTTGAAAGGCTAGTTCATAGGAGAGTTCTCATTGGGTGAACAGGTTCCCCGCTAGCCTAGAATGCAAAAGGAACTCACTGAAAGGAGGATCCTGAATGTGTCAATGATGAGCATAAAAAGCGTAAATCAAGTGTATAAGATAAAATTTAGTTGGCCAGCCAGTTACTTTTTTCATTGCCTCTCTAATAATTTAAAAGAATCTACAGCATGAGGAATAAGCTTCTTTGGCCAGCAAATTTTGGGGTTGGTTTCACGCAGTCATGTTACATAGATCACAAACAGCCATAATAAGCACTCGAGGTAGTAAAATTGCTCACACTGTGCTTTTTTGATGGGATATTTCTTACAAGGAGGAACACAGACAAAACACCCCAGCAGACTAGTCAGACCCAACTGCTCCCTTTCCAGGTGGTGTTATTAAGAAGAATCCCAAGAGGAGGGGGTAAAAATAAAAAAAGCTCAGGAACAGAGAAGTAATTCTAAATTGGAAGAGGAGTTCATGCTTCTGCTTGGTATCAGTTAGACCAAGGGAAAAACAGGACCTCTCAAACTCCATCTGGCAGAGTTTTTAAACTTATACATGTGATTTCAAACCTAGATTTGAACTTATCATCAAATCTGTGTTTTTAGAAGCAGCTGCTAAGAAAATGCTACACTGGAGAAAACTGATAATCTTTGTAATAGTAAAACCAAACGCTAAACACATCTTATTTCCCTAAAAGCATCTTGAATGTATATATTGTGAACTGTTGTTTAATTTTAAAAATATTTACTAAATAGTAGGTCTGCTACTGCCAACATACACTGCTATGGCCTTTCAAGAGCAAAAATCTACACCACCACCCCTCACCTCCGCCAAAGAACTCACCATAACTGGAAACTGGCCATCTGAGTAGAATCACAGAAGTCAATACCCATTAAAACAGTAACGGATCCTGCAGGCTCAAGGCACTCTAAATAAAAACATTTTGAATAGGTAAAGTATGTATGCAAAGCAACAGAAGACCCCAGATGAAAACCCCCAAACTTCACACAATTAGAAAAGCTATATTAAAAAAAAAAAAAAAAAAAAAGAGCAAATACTTCTAGTTTTATTTCAAGTAGATATCACCCAAATGTCACATTTGCACGTTTAAGTATGTTGGATGCCCCCTCCCCAAAATAGTGCACATGAAATGCTGCCATTTCAATCTTACAGACCCACTATCAACAAAGGATTTATATTAGAAAAGCTAGGAAAACTATTCACAGAAAAAAAAAAAAAAAAATGAAGCTAGATCCTTTTGCTTCTGTACAGATGCAGGACTAAGATTTCATTTTCAGTAAACCAGTTCACAAATTTAGCTAATAAATAGTGAAACACAACAAATAATAATAAAATTTACATTACTACACACCGTAATGGAAAAGAGCTGAACTTAAAATATTTCATAATTAGTGTGGCTTACTTATTCATCAATATTCTGCTTGCATTAGTTAGGGGAGTAGAGACATTATGAATTCAAAATGGAAGATAATTTTGCACCTTAAAAGCAGTACAGACTGAGCCAATTCTCAAATTAAGGTTTCAAGAGATATGCTTATTTTTAGTTTCTTGATTTTACTACTATATAACCTCAGTGTTTCCTCAATGTTGTAGAGGTAAGGCTTTGTTTTGGCAGGATGAAAAGCTCTTTCTTCACCTAAGTAGAAGTACCAAAAACAAGCACTGGAGCAGAGTTAGACTTTCCAAGATTACAAGAAAGACAACTTAAAAGCACAGTTAAAAGAAAGAAATCAAATAAAAATGATTGGTTTGTCAGAAAAAATGTCCAATTTCCAGTTTATTCATTAGTGTATCTGATGCTTTTAAGGAACTGAGTATTAGGCAGCTGCTCCAAGATAAAAGGAAACAAAGCATAACTGTACTAAGATTATGTTCCGAAAAATATGGAAAACATGGACGTGATGCAGATAGGCAAACACTGAACTAATGCTAAGGAATTAATAGAAAACAAGGCATTTCAAAAAGTCTGCATAAAGCACTGGAAGATTATAGAGTTCCAGCTCAAACTCAGACTAAACTTTATCAAAGTCTTTGAGCTTAATGTTTTCCAACAGTGTTCCAAGGGCACCTAGCCAACAAGAAAATACTGCACACAGGGACTTAAATTAGTAATTTGGCCCACTTCTGCTGGCAAAACCAAGACAACTGCCAACAGTGATTGAACTGATGGAGTCAATACTTCACTTCTACTCCAGCAGGAGGAATACCTGTCTACACTGGCACTTCTTTTGTTGTTTCTGCTGCGTAACTGATAGGATATGTTTTATGAATGCTGGAAACACAAAAGGTTAGAAGAAGAACAGGGCATATGACCTAGGCTCTAGATGAAGTGCAAAGAAAATCTGCATCCAAGGAAGAAAATGAACATTTCTGGAAGGAACTACAGATGATTCACAGTTTTCTGCAGAAGAAACTAACAGCTTCTCAGGACAGATAACATAATTAAATTATGTCTTTCTTGGAGAAATAAATACTTTAAAGAGTAGTATTGCTTTGTGGGACTCAAGAAACCTGAACTGATTAACTTATTAATTCCAGATTTCCTCATGTTTTTTTCAGTGAGAGAAGTTCACCAACTGTTACTGTGAGTACATGATCTCCTTATCTGATTTACAGTGTTGTAAGCCTTTGTGACTTGATTTCTCTAAATGCTGAAAGGAAGGGACGTGAAATTAGCCTGCTGGTCAAAATTAACTTGAAATCAGAACTCTGCACTTTTCTTAACTTGAGGAATCAGCACCAAGCAGTTCACAAAAATTAGTACCTTTCCAAAAAGTAATTGTCTTGATGGAGTATGTATCATTATAAAATGAAAATTGTTCAAAAATTTTAACTTTAAAATAAACTGCAGCATTGTACAATTGCTTTTTTAACTATTTAGTGTAAAACTGTATTGTCTTTTCAATGTTAAAAAACAAGTACTTCAATAGCATACAGCAATTTAAGACCAAACATCTTTTTAACTACTGAAAACCAAAAATACTCTTTAATTCACTGCTGTGCTTTAAAGAACTTGTTTTTGAATTCTTCTAATGTGATATAGATTCACATAACATAGCTCATTAGAGGAGAAGAAAAATACAGCAGGTGGTGTCAAAAGAGTGTTTGTCCTTTCCACTTAAATTATAAAAGAGACATTTTTGTTCCTTCTGCCTATACTACATTGTCCTAAAACAAAGAACTGCTGAGAAAAGAAAGCAGATTTTGTGCAGTTAATACTTGAATAAAAGGTTGCTATGACCTGCGTTCCCTTTTCCACTTACAAATTCAGGAAAAACTATCCTGATCAGAAGGTTGAAAGTAAAACAATTCAGGTTAGGGCTGACTACAGCATGGCTTTCTACCTAGTCCAAGAAGCCATAATTTGTTAAGTGTGGTAGATGCAAGCAAGACTAAAATATACACTTCCATTCCAATGTTAAAAGCTCTCAAGGGAAACAATGAGAACACTTGAAGACACCAAAATACACAATACATCTACAAAGGTTGTGTAAAGCTTGGAAAGAAAGTAATTGTGAATATATAAATCAAAACACCATTCTTAACAGTAGCTCATCATAGTCATTCTGGACTAAGGCTGTAAGAGAATGTGTTTGTAGGGAGACTTAAAAATTTCAGTGTATCAGCTGCCATTGATGTAATTGCTATTTGAACAAGCAGGTAAGCTGTCAGGCATGGAATTTCTGATCTGAGTTACTTTCAAAATCAAATAAGCAGCGGAAAGCAGAATTAAATTTTTAAAATTAAGTAACTAAGAAAAAGTAGTTGCTTGAGTGTGTGTATGTATACGCACATACGCAGCTATCTGTGTGTACCTACATGTGTGTATGTGAATACATATGACTATGAAACATCATGTTCCTGTGTTTGAAATTCTGCACAAAGCTAAGATTCTGCATTTTTAAAAACAGGATACTATTACCTATTGGATCAAACTCATGCATCCTCATGCCTGGAGGCAATTTCTTCTCCTTGATGTGAATATTCTCTATCTTCTGATCAGTTGTATTTGTTACTGTCACTTGCACAGACACCATACGATCACCGAAAATGCCTTGCTGTCTTGAGAAGTGATAATGAGCTGCTAATCCTTTTCCACTCATTCGATGAAGCAGTTCATGTGTTTTTGTTGGCACAGAGACTTGGGTAGTGACCTGTTAAGTACAAAACAGTTGGTGAATGTTGTAAGCAAAGGACAGAAAAAATGACAATTAAATACTGCACTTTTCACTCAGCTAAAGCACCTGTTTTCTAGTCAGAAATTTAGTGAATTAGAAACGTGTCGGGATGTATTCAAATTCATAGAAAAATTATAGTAATAGATATCAGGTAACCTAAAAATTACATTTGTGATGCTGAGAAATAGCAGACTTAACTTACTGTTGTATTTACCTTGCTTTCCACTATAAATCTGTTTTAAATATCTTAACTCCACAGGTAACCATTAAATGATCAGTAGTTTTTCTTAAGAGTTACAGTTAGAATAATCACATTGTTTCCAACACAGAGTCTCTTTCCATTCTATGGATCAGAACTCAAGGCTGACCCCAACCCCACTATGTACTGTGAAAGTCCAGCGAAAAATTATCTTCTCCTTCTCTTGTTAAAACCACAAAACATGTTGCCTAACAATTACACCAGTCAAATACTAAAACCACAGTTCTATAGAGCACAAGGATGTTGCCACTTTTTTAATTGTCTTGCTGCCACAAGGAGTAAGAGAAATCCCAAGGATGTTTGGGTCCATTCTACCCTGAAGAAGTAGTGTGAATAAAAGACATTCAGCACTGCTAAGAAGATCTGTAATGATGAGTTCAAAAGAGCAAAATTAAGGAACATGCAGAAAACTAAAGATAATGAATTTGAATTCTTTAAACAAATTTTAAGGAAAGGCTAGGAAATCACATGAAAAGTAATATCACAGAAAAGAAATACAGAGGCTGAAAAAGCCAGATGCTCAGCACAAAAAATCCTGTTTGTTTGGTCAATGCACTATGAGCTACTGAACTTCACCCCATACCTGTGCAAGGAGAATGGGCTTTTCTCTTGCCTTCCCTACAAAACACCTAGAGGTTGCTGGATTTTCCTGACTGCCACATTTAACATCAAGGGGCTAATCTGAAGACTTAGTGAACACATCCCGTACTATGAGAAAATGGTAAGAGTTGGGATTTAAACCCACAAGGTGTTACAGAAATGAGAGTGTATTTCAAAAGCACAAGGTTGTAATGAATCCCGTTGAAAAACTTTAGGAAGTTAGTGAGCACATAGCAAACTTTTTCTTTCTCTCTTACACACCAGTTTCTGAACTGTAAAGCCAGGCTAGTAATATCCATCACCTCATATGAGTATCTGTAAAGATGAAGTAATCTATGTTTAGAAGTGTGAGCACTACACTGATGAAAGCTGAAGAAAACTAGATGAGGACCTGAGTAAGTGCGCATTCAGAAGTGGCTTTGGAAGGTACATTAAGTTTCACACAGATCATACTGAATGAAGAACAAATAACGAAGGAAAAAAGGCAGAATGGCCTCCTCTTCCCGCAAAACTCAAATACTACATGACTGTAATTAGAACAACACATACAGGATGTGATGGAGTAAACGTCTGTGCAAAAACTTCCACATCAGATTTCAGTCTCAACTTTTTAGCTAGTGTTTCTTTCACTAATACACAAAACCACCGGTACTAGGTTTTTTTAGAAACAAATTAATGGTCCACCAGTAACCTTCAATGTGAAAGCTAAAGGCTGTTTCAGAATATGTCTGAATTGAGAGGAACTCTGCAACCCAAACTTTGAATCTGTACAATTTATTAATACTTTTTAAAGTAAATTCACGAAGTTCAGACATTTTCTTCCCCCTAGAATGATAATCTAATATTTTCAGGGATAACGTTTTTAGTTTTCCTGTGGGATGAGAAAAAAACACAGCTGTTTACAACTGAACATATTCCCAAATATTTAAACTTCTATATCCCTTCAAGTAACAGTAGCAATACCACATGAAGAACATAGGCACCCTATTTTTAAATGGAGTAATTTTTTTGAGTTCTATTACTGATCTCTCACAAGCATAAAAATGCCTAATACTTTTGTCCCAAGAACACAATTCAGTGAAATTTTACAAAACCCATAATGACTATCTATCTTGGTAGTCCATTGCCAGTTTGCACGCATAAATATATGGTATTAGAGTTACTTACATGAAGCTTATGTTTAAATTATATTTATAGAATAATGAGTCCTGTAACATCACATGACCAGATTTCCAGCTAATGCAAAACGAACAGAAGTAGCACAAACTATATGGATGGTCACAGTCCCTCAAAATTCAAAACACCTTTTGTCTCCAAAAACTTATAATGAAAATAAAATTCAAAAACCCACAGTTAACTCCCACTGATTTTTAAATCACACAGAATATTAATCTCAAACAAAAGAGGACTTTTATTATATTGCCTGTTGTTTGCCTCTGTAGGGCTGTCGAGCATTTTTTTTTTTAATAACCCTCCCCCTCCCCTTTAATAGATTAATACTCTGTTTAGATTTCTAGAAATAATTGACAAGGTCAGGCTCTCAAAAAACATCTCTGTTGTCAAGAAATAAGAAAGGAGGTACTTCAAATAATAAATGTCTTATTGGTACTCAGGAGGAGACAAATGAACTAAGAGTTTAGTAGCAGAGCCACACTAGCACCTGTTACCTAAACCACTGCTGAAATAATGAATAAAACAAGTTTTTTAGGTGTAATTTGAATCTTATTTTTACGTTTGAGCTTAGCCTTTAACTTTTAACATTTAATTTGAGTGGGACATGCACAGTAGAGAAGTTACTTCATTAAATGGTTCACCCATTTTTCATTAACAGGCTTAGGAAATATGCTTTATTCATGTTAAAACAAGCATTTTGAAGTGCACTAGCTTCTCTCTGTTAACATACAGGTGTTTTTATCAAACCATTTCTTAAAAGGAACGTAAACATAAAAAGTAGTCAGAAGCCCAATGTGTACAAACATATGCACAGATGCAGCAAAAATCCATCACTATAATTGAATTGCAAGACGGACTCAAATTTTACTCAAACCTTCCAGTGATTTTTAGTGATTTTAATCTAAGCTCCTTTCAGCATTATGGCCCATGTTTCACTTGTTAGCACGTTCACGTTTATTTTCAGTATCACACTACACAAAGCAACAGATAGGTAGAGGACAGTCAAAATAATGACATGTTTAAATCACCTTCATTCCTGCAGAACATGAATTTTCAGTTGCATTTAATGTGGCAGTACTAGAAATAAATAAAATGCACATATGCTGAACAAAGGAATTTAGTTACGGAAAAAGAGAATTCTCAAGCCCTCTACTTGCTAGCAAGGGTTTTGAGCTGGCAAAGGCCGGTGTGAATGTAATGCAGTCTACTTAATAGTTACATCAGCCAGGTAAGCAAGGTTTCTTTGGTTTTATTCTAAAATTTTCAAGGCATAAAATTGCAATACTTAAAGAAACCAATAGAGTAGATACCTGCAATCACTCTGGGGTTAAAATAATCCTCCACAGAGTTAATAGAACAAGAAGCCTCTAGTAACTAGGAGATAATCCCCTACAAATCTTACACAGCATATGTTTAAATAATAGAAGTCGTTTGTGTACCTTTGGATGGTTTATGAAAATAACCAATCAATTCTGCAGACACAACATTATTTCTAAAAGAAATCTATGTGACTCATGATGCCTGCAGATACACAGAGACAAACCACACATATTTTATCAGTTTATTACAGTAAGCAAATAAGCGTGGAATGAGAGTGCACATAACTGTCTACTTAACGCTTACTGAAACATTTATAAGAGCTGTTATCTCCCTAATAACAGACAGACAGTGTGCAATTTTAGAGAGGAGAAAAGCTTCATATTTTTTAACACTTCACTAAAAAGTAACTGAAGAGTGTAAAATGAAAAATACTCTGTGCAGTTAGCTGGTAATGGACCATATTATCAACTCAAGTTAGATTTATAGGATACAAACTAGTCACTAATAGTTATTTTATGACATAGCGTATCTGCTTTTTTTGGGTGAAGATTATTAAGATTAAACTTGCAAAACTTTTTTTTTTCATATACAGCTATTTATAATGATAGAAATAAAAAAAAAAAAACAAACAAAAAAACCCAGACTCTTCTTCCACCCTATTTTGACTGAAAGCCACTGTGAATTAAAAGGCAGCATAGGCACTCCACAGTGATATCATACAGGAATGCTGTATTGGGACATGTCAGACTGGCCTCCACGCTAACTGCACATTTTGAAAGATGAGACATCACCCTAAAAGAAGCTGCAAATACTTTTAAAACTGCTTCTTATACAAGAACAGTAACATAAGGATTTTGCCTTAAAATCCTCCACTCATTAACCATGTAAAGGGAAAAATGTAAGATCAGTGACAATAGTTTTGACTTTATCACAACAGAGCTGACTAGTTACAAACCACTGAATCCTCTGCACATCAACATGCTTCTTTTTGCCAGCTCAGTAAATCCTCGATAACTAAGCTTAAGTTAATACAAAAAATGCTTTCCCATAATTCTTTAAAATAAAACAGCACTATAGGTTTTATTAAATCTACTACATAAAACAGAGCGGGACAGACTTTCCTGTATGAAGTATTACTATGACTATTCTTATTGAGCACAAATTATGTCTTATTTTTTTTTCTGTATTTGTTCCTTAGCTTAATAATGCTGCAATAATACACATACATTATTTTTTGATCCTTATTTTGAAGTGTATATATGTTTGTATATAACATATATTATTGCAAAAAAAAAATTTGCTTCCAAGAATGTTGATAATTATAGTTCTACTCCTCTAAATGACATTCTGTTAAAGCAGTGGACTGAATCATTTAATCTAAGTAGCCTTTCTACTGCCCTCCTACTGGCAATATCCATGACATAATCCAAGAATTACCTACTGAGCTGTGAGAGCTATATCCTCTCTTACACTCACTGTAAAGCTATGCTCCAGTAATTTCGCAACAGCTAAGAGGCGCAGGGCTATCACGTAGCCCAGCCACATTTACATGATCTTTCAACTGAAGCTATGAGAACAACTTAACTACAATTTTATAGTATTAGAAGAAAGATGGAAAATCAGG